TAATTTCCCGGCGTTCTCATCTTTTGAAATATTGCAGCTTACCGTAATTGCAATTTTCCGACTATTTCGGCAACTTTTTTCAGAGTAAACTTTTCTTTTGCAGGATAGTGACACAAACTGAAAAAAAAAAAACATTTAAAAAATTGAATTGAACTGCAATTTGAGTTCGAGTTCAAATAAAATGTATTATAACTTTTGTAATAATGTTTCTATTTTAGCATTGAATTCACACTGTCCTACACTTTCCTGGCTTTCTAAAAAAGCTACCATTGCTTTCTCGTCCATCTTGTTCCAGAATAAATTGTACTTGGCAACTTCTACATTTCGAAAATAAATTAAGGAGTCTTCCACAGCTCACGGTTTGAGTTCTTTTTACTGGAATGAACATATTTCTACGGAAAACAAAGCAGGGATAATTTGCGGATCTGCTAATTTCATTTACCGCATTACAAGAAGCAGTGCAATATTTTAAAGAAAGTAAATCTGTTACACAGTTTTGCTTCCTCCAAAAAGCATTTTTTTGTGATTTTTCTTTATCCGAGGATTAAGCAACACGTTCGCTGAACAAATGTTAGGGAGCCATTTGAAAACCATACTTTCAAAAAAAAGGCACTTTCTCGGCGAGATTTTGACTACAACTCAACATTTCAGAAGCGCAGCGCAGATTTTTGACGTTCTATGCCAAAACGGGGACATGGTGAAAGACTGAAGAAAATGTGTTTTCCCCTCGGGTTCATTTCAAACGTACGCGAGCAAAAAAGTAATTCGCCGCGTTGTTCTCTTCCTTCTCCCTCTCGTCTTTCCGAGAAAAAACAAAATTCGTTTTTCATTATTTATGATTCCATCTTTTTTTTTTTGCGCGCGAAATACGGTTAAGCGAAAAGCTAGGATTTCAAAATCGCGAAACGGATTAAATCGTGATTCCGAGGGTTCATCGCCAGCGGAACATTTTCTCAATTCCTTTTTTTTTTTCCACAGCACTGTTTCGGCGATTTTTGGATCGCCTTTTTTTTGAGCCGACCTGGTCATGATTTCAAAACATTTTCGCTGGAACAATTTACATCGAACAACGCGCATTTTTCCGGCGGAATGTGAAATAATGATAGCTGTACGTCACTGCCACACTTTTTTTGCCTCGACTTGTTTCTTACAGCGGTGTCGGAATTTTTCAGCAAATTTTTCGGAAATTTCAAAACATGCCATCGTATTCAGATTTCTCCTGCGAATACTTTGCCACAAAGCACGAGGAAACATCGACTACTGCATCTTCAATCAATGCAATCAACCTTCACCGAAAAAAAAAAACCAACACGAATCAACACGGAATCACGACAACAAAAAAGCAGCCATCACCATTTATAATTTTGAAAAAAGGAACACTGAAACCAGATGAAAACCACACCGAATTTGAAATGTACGCCGAAACACCGAAGAAATGATATGCATATGTACACCAACACGTAGGAAAAGAAAAAAGGCGATTCGCCTCCCAATACAAAAAATAATAAAACGTTCATAAGTCGTCGTGCCATCTCGAGTTATTTATCCGTCTGCCAACTTTTTTTAATTTTTGCTCAACGGAAGAGGAACCAGGCGAGAACAACGTCGCGAATAAGAAGAAAACACGCAAACAACGACCCAGAAGAAAACACCGAGGGGAATCGGTCCAAACCAACAGAGAACACAGAGAGACAATTTATATTCCTCATGAACGCCCGGCTGTTGCCAATTTTCTTCTTTTTTAAATGTTTTTCTTCTTTTGCTATCATTCGAAAGGAAAACAGACGACAGGTAGAGAAGAAGAAGAAGGCGATGATGATGATGATGAAAGTTTGGGGCATGCTTCTCTTTTGCGCACTGTTTTATTTATGCTCCAGTTGAAGTTCCCGACACAGAAAGAAGAGCAGGGGGATGAAAAAAAAGGGGTACGAGGGTTGGTTCGCAAGTTTTGTCAGTTTCATGCAATCAAGTTCTAGTACGTAGTGTATTCAACATTACGAAATTTAAATTCTTCAAACACAACGTGGAATCCATATCAAAATTGTCTTCACGTAGACATCCGTGTTTCACTCTACATTTTCTCCAGTTGCATGCAAGAATATAGGCAATTACTGGCAACCTTTATTTTCAGCATAGCCAAGTTTTCCTCGCTGTTACGCCGTTTTTAAACCTTGGAAATCCTCACAATAGGAAAATGTTGCAATTATTTCAATTATTTGATCTAAATTAGACCGCCCATGAATTCACAAATTTAGCAACTAACTGCGGTAGTCAAACCTTATTCTGTCCAGAACAACAACAAAAAACCGTAACAGTGGCGAAGAAATAGAAAGACTCTAGTTTCCTGCTTGAAAACATCGCCAATAAAAATCCCGCAATTACAGCTTTTAAAATATTTCGTGTCAATCTGGCCATAAATTGACAAGATGAGCAAGTGCGAGGAAACAATGTTCTGTGAAGTGAAAAAAAAAATTGAAAACGGTGAAGAAATAATCGACGATTAAAGCATTACATTTTTGAGTTCGTCAATATTCATCAACCGAACGATATGAAATACATGGGAACTGACAAAATTCGCGAAACGCATCCTACAGTACAATCTCGTTACAACGAAGCATTTGGGACCTTGAAAAGCTTCTTTATAAACGGAAAATTCGTTTTAATGCTATCAAAACAGCATTATGGTTTTGAGCAGGGATCGACAAGACAAATTCGTTGTAAGCATTAATTCGTTGAAACGAGATTCCACTGCATGTACAGTATATTTTTCATTTCTCTCTTTCTCTCCCTCTCGTCACAGGACACATGCAAAACAACAACAACAACAAAAAAGGGTGAAACATTGTTTCTCCCATTTTTCTCACCTTGACGACGCGGCGGTCGAGCCCGAGCCCATGTGCGAGTCGGGTGATCTCGGCCGAGTTTGGGTTCGTGTTGTACTTGTAGTAGGTCTTGAGGGTCATGAGCTGGTTCTGGTCGAACACGGTGCGGGGCCGGCGTCCACTGGGATGGAACCCGCGTCCGCCGCCCCCACCGCCGCCGCCGCCACTCACGTTGGACGACGGCGACCCGTCGGGCCCGAGGCCGCCACCCGGAGACGCCGACACATCCAGACC